GCTACTAATTGTCTTCTGAAGGAATTAGCATTGGAAGATCCTAAAGAATACTTCGATAGTTTGAGAATGTCCGAAAGTTGTGTATATTTTCTGTTAATGAATGTTATGGCGGCAACTAATAAACTCGACTAATACGACAGGTTCGTACTTGTTTAGCCGGTGAACCAGTGAACTCGGACGCGTGGTGGGGGCTGCAATTTGCCCAAAAAAATAGAATAAAATGGATTGACTCGACTAAATTACTTACTAAACTAATCGACTAAATTTTTAGTGTTCAGACACGTTTAGTTACTAAATTACTCGCTACTAGACTAAAATACTAGCTTAATGCGAACTAGGCTTAACGGTGAGTTTCTGAGCTATAATTTGCTGCTCACTACTGGACACTTTTTCAACCTGTTTCCCATATAAGTTAATTCTCCTTAGTTCTCCCTTCCATAATCTTTTCAGACTATTATTTTTGTAAGACAAGAATACTCATTTAGTAATTAGTTATGTTCAGAAGAAAGATTTTATGTAAATTTTATTGATCCATGCATGAGAAATACATGTGATATAGTTTTATAGAGGATTAACTAGTTAAGATTATCAACATCTTGTAAAGATTGTTATATTGTTAGTCATATAAAACAATTTACACTATTAGATTATAATGTACAATGTTTTGATGAATAGTTTTAATAGCATAGTCATAAATGCATGTCCAGTTTTGTTTAAGAAATTACATATTTTTATCAAAGTTAAAGGTAATTTTATATTACTATAAGTGTGGAATATCAGTGTTTTGTTCAAAAAAACAGATTAAATAGCAGTATTTTCATAATATTACTGCACTTTAGTTAGTAACAATCATGGAAGAAATGTCTAAAATGCAGTAATAACAGGATTTACTGCATTTAAAACAGTTTTTGAAAAGATTATACAAGTGTGTGTAGTAATAGGGGCAAAAAAATTAAAATTGCCATAATTATAGTTTTTTATAAAAAAACTAACGTAACAATGTTTAGTATTTTAGTTTGGTACATATTCTTTCACTTTCCATTCAAGGTTTTATCGAAAAGTCTCTTTTTGATATATTTTTATGGATTCTAAACTTTAAGCGCGTTTTTCTCGAATTCGTGTTTTTGCTGTTACTGCACTTTAGGTTCGGGAGGGCAGAATAGCCATATTTAGATACAGCTTCATCCTTCGCATTGTTTGTTTCGTAATAGAAAGGTTATAATTTTGTTGACAAGGAATTTATTAACTATTTTTTACGGTATTTGTTATGATAAAAAGTAATTAATTTTAAATTTTTGTCTATGGTATATTCTTATTTACGTTGACTTAGTCTAAATGTACATCTACATATATTGCACTTAGTCAATCACTTAAGCAATCTTTTTAATAGAAAATTTATCTATAAAACTGTGTCATGTTATCTGGAACCTTATCAATAAAGAGATTGTTCTAAGGCGACAGACGAAATCTGCGGTATTTTCGCAATCTGTCCGTCTGTATTGAATAAAATATTTTACAACAAAGGCTGGTTACAGCGGATCGGTTGCATGCCTGAAACGCTGAAAGTGTGCCAGTGGCCTCGTCAACAGAAGGTTGAATTCGGCACAGTTGGTATGTAGATATTACTTTGTGGCCGTTTTGGTTTTAAATATAAAGATAGTTTTTATTCACACCTGCAATAGGTATATTTTGCGAGCCTTTAAAACATTAATTTAGTTTTGAAGTGAAAGACGGTAACTGTATTTCATTTGGTACCTACAGCGACAAACGTCGTTAGATCTGTTTATGGCGGCCTTCAACGTCCCGCCAGTTCAAATATTTGGCACAAACCACCCCTGAACTCGGCTTTATTGATACAAACTAATTTGAAGGGCATGAAGCCGTTAAGCTACAGATGTATTGCTTCATAAAGCTTTTATTTTATACAGCCTGCGGGTTTTTGTTCGTCCTCTTTCACAGATATGATACCTACAACTTTTTTTGGGTCTCCTGGAAATATTTGAATGTATCGATCTTTAAAAAAATAATTTACGATACTTAGGAGCGCTTCAACGAGCAGTGTTGGAACAGAGCAAATAATCGAATGTAATATTTTAGATAAATATATTTCATCGATAGAATAGTGACTTAATCACGTAGTATTAAATGGTTCTCGTGACATAATGCAATCTATACATATAATAAAATTGTAACTAAGCCGAAAAGGGATTTTGATGAAATTTGGTATAGCTGGTTATCCGGGTCAACATATAGGATACTTTTTATCGCAGGAAAATATCTCATTTCTGAGAAAAAATACAAAATCTGTAATGTAAGAGTATACTAATATGTACAACCTAAGAATTTGGTTTTTGGTCACCTGAACGCGGGCGGAGCCGCGGGCAATGCTAGTATTCCTATAAATTAGTAAGGGATGAGACCTTACTAGTTTCAGTTTTATTTCTATTAGAAAATTTCTATTAAAAAATAATTATTTACGTATATTCAGACAAATTATTTCAAATCTTACGGCTTAGTGTTCGAAAGATAGATTTTTTTAAATATTAACTTCACTTTTATGTGTAGTGTAAATACACCTCATCTTTCATTTCAATATTATGCCAAGGAGACGAGTTATTAAGTACAACATACTTACCGGTTTTCCTAAGGGAAATATTTTATTCAAAACAATTTTTTCGCGTGAGTGACGGCGTGTCTGTGTTATAAGAAATGTAGAGCTCGCTTACAGAACAAGACAATTTTTATGTGTTAAATATACCATTTATGTATATTTTATAAGTATATACATATTATTAGATATTTACGTGTAAATAAGTTATATGCACCAATATCGAGCACATTAGATAAAAACGGTCGAAGCCTTTTTTAAACCTTTAGAGTTTTTTTTTGTGTAAAAGTTTAATATTATCAATTGTTTAGGTTATTTCTGATCTGCTTTTTAAAATTCATGAAGTTATATAAATAATTCTATTAAAGAAATAATTAAAAACTTTACTGTATGTAGTAAGGTTTGGAACCTTGTTGTAAATTTTGTGGCCGCAATATATAAGCTCTTTTTGTGTTATTGTTTAATAAAAATGGATTCAGTTCAGTTGGCTGCGTGCCTCGTGCCCATTATTTCAGATGAGAAATATGGCTTAGGAACAATCCCCTGGCGCGGGCGAGCCGAGAGGACGAACGAAGTTATACTAGGGGCTTACATTTACAATGTTTTACAGTTTTATATTAAATTAATTTAAGTTAACATAAATCCGTAGTAATGAAGATAGGAAAGATTTAATTTAATAATGAATACAAAAGAACCGTTTTCATGTTCATTTTTTTTTTGATATATGGTTCGTTGTCTTGTGTGGGAGTTAGATCTAACAATAAGATCTGTTGTATCAACTATACATATTACATACCTACATAACTTACTACGTTATCTGTACATATAAATAAAACTAAAGTGTGTGGTTGTTATATCAAAATAACAGCTTTTTATTAAATGCATATGAAATTATATACGATACTTATACAGCATTTTTAACATTTATGTCTGTCTGTTCGGGTAATGTCCGAAACGGCTGAACGGATTTTGACGGACTGAACAGATTTTCACTGGCAGATAGCTGATATTATAAGGAGTACCGTAGGCTACTTTTATTTTAGAAAAAGAATTGGGTTCCACTAAAAAAATAATACATAGGTACCTAAGGACGAACCTGAGCGAAGCGAGGGTGAGTCGCTAGTATATATGTTTATTATTATAACTTCAAAATGAAAATTATTTCATACATATGCTCCATCACGTAGTATCTCTTGCGGTGTGATGAAAGGAAAAAAAATAATGTTTCATATTTTTGTTTATTTTTGGTTATGTATTTAAATTGATTATATCCTTCACCAGTTTATTAATTGTTGTTAGTTACTTTTTTACTTTTAGCTTCGTTATGTTCGCGTAACAGTCTACGGATATATATATATATTATGTACTTACTACAGTCTCAGACAAAGCGATAAACCTTGCTAATTGCTCGTAAAACTACTGAATTGAAGGAGTTAGCATGAATATTACATTGGATTTTTTCAGATTACGGCCTTAAAGATTATTTTTGTAAATAATTAAAGTCAGTCTGTTCCTTTTGTGCGATACTTACATGCCTTTTTTTTAATATATTTTTGTTGAGCCAACAGAACTTATATGTTGCAATATTAAAGACACACAGAAAACAGTTCAGTACTTTTTTCTTCTCGATTTGTCAATCGATTTTCTTTTTTTTTTGTTAGTATCTTTAAGAGCTTTAAGTGTTATCATCAAAAAAAAAAAAAGATTATAATGGTCGAATTTCGACCACTGGTGAAAAATAGTATATTATTAACCTATTAATTAATAATATTTTAACCTACTTATCTAAATAATATAGACTTATCGTCGCGTCATCAAAAGTCGTATAGAATATCATAACGACATATTATGTCATAACAGTTTATGCAATTAGAAGTCTTAAGATTGAAAGCATTCATATGAGGCATCGATAGATACTTATTTAAATTTAAATATATGTCCTTTAAAAATAGATAGTAAAAACTTAAAAAATTAAAATCGACTTCCAGGCACTAAAATGTAAAAAATAACTAAACGGGGGTTTTCATCTAGAATAGATACCTAATCAGATATTTATTAAAAAAAATTATTTATTGTTGATTGTTTAAAAAACCGTTTAACCGATTTCCAAAAAATTTATATGGGGCCACCTAGGAAGTACCTATACCCTTCGAAACAAAAAAATATATATTTTCAAATCGGTTCAGGCGTCTTCGAATAATTGGTGAACATACATAAAAAAAATATTCCGACGAATTGAGAACCTCTTCCTTTTTGGAACTCGGTTAAGGGTTTTGTATAAAATCAAGAAAAAGTTACTACTATTCGTGGAAATACTTTATTACTTAAAATTATTTTATACTTAATATCGCTTTAATACGTGTTAAATAGTGAAAAATGTCGATCTCAACAGATGCCAACTCATTCCACCAAACGTCGAAATGGATCGACGATGTACGCACCGAGCGCGGCTCGGACGTGATCATCATGCTGGTGGGCAACAAGACGGACCTGTCGGACAAGCGGCAGGTGTCCACCGAGGACGGCGACCGCAAGGCCAAGGAGCTCAACGTGATGTTCATAGAGACCAGCGCTAAGGCTGGATATAATGTCAAACAGGTATTTGTTTATCTAATTCCTAGGTGTCAAGCAGTATACTATTTGTTTCTCCAGGTCACAGCCTATCTGTGTACTGAATTTCACATAAATCCGTCCAGCCGTTTTGGCGTGAAGGCATAACAAACATACATACGTGCATGTACACATTTCGCATTTATAATAGTACCTAGTTTAATAATCCATTGGTGAAATTTCATATTCTTGACATCGCTAGTAATAAGTACACTATCACCCAAGTGCCGTAAGACTAAACAGTATACACTATGGCTTCTATTATAAAGCGTAATCCGAATGAAAATATATTTATTTATTTATTAGTAGTATGTTTGAGAGATTGAATTTTTTTTTAAATTGAAAAATCGTATTTACAGAATCTTATCAAAACCAACCAAACAGCTTGTTGAATTTCGATTTTACTTTTTATTTTACAATTCTAAATAACTAAGTAGACTAAAAGTTATGTTTCATTTTAGGCATTTTTCTTTGAGGAGAGTATTTTGTATTCAGCCCTTTTTAATGTCCCACTGCTGGGCACAGGCCACCCTTCAATTCGAGGGGGATCAGATCGTAGTCCACCACGCTGGCCAAGTGCGGGTTGGCGGACTTCACATGTTTTTCGAAAACTTGCTAGGTTCTCCCAGACATGCAGATTTCCTCACGATGTTTTCCTTCACCGTAAGGCAAGTGGTAATCATGTTAGAAATGATTCGCACATGAAACAGAGGTGCGAGACCCGTTATTGAACCCACTTCACTCGGTGTCCCATGTTAGCGCGTTACCAATGGGTTACCACTGCGTTCCAGAAGGACATTATCACTTATAAATAAATATATTAAAAAATTTTTTTTACATAAAGACAAAATAAAAATCGTTAAAAAACTATATTTTCTTAATATTTTCCAAATTAATTTCCAGTTATTCCGACGAGTGGCGGCCGCGCTGCCCGGCATGGACTCCGCCGAAAGCAAGCCGCCGGAAGACAGTATCCTTTTTCTAACAAATATACCTTTTATATATCATATAGTAACACGAACACGTCATTACATCTCACGCAGTCCATACACGCACTACACGTTTACCTACAAAATAAATATATATGATATGAAGGTAAAAGCCACTAAGTCATGTTGTTTCATATTATTCCTTATATATCAATAATTATATAATAAAGTTACCAAAAGTTTTATTTTTATAATTCTCAATGAATGAAGTTTTTTTTTTAAATCAGCAATATTTAAAATATTTCCATCTCAAAAAGTATTAATTTGTTACTTATTGACTTTTGCCTTTACAGCAAGATGTATTCGACATATTTATTCGCTATGGAGTAATACGGCTAGTTTAAGTGCAGTTTGACGGCTCATTTTTGATTGGTTTTGATTTGGGTGTGAATTCATTTGTGTGAAATTAGCTATAATACGTTTCTTCTGTTGGTTTGTTTGTTGCAAAATATGAATTTATTTTTTTCATTTCGTTATTGAAATTAGAAAATTGCGCTCTCTAGATCTTTCAAGTCTTTTAAAAATACCAAAAACAACTTCTGAAACATATTTATTTATAAGCGTATGAACGTAATATTCATATATATATATATATATATATATATATATATATATATATATATATATATATAAAATGTTTCGTTAGAGCGATGTTTTGTAGCGAATTTCACACGTTTTGGCACAATTGTACGGTATACTAGTGTCGTGTCCCGGACTCGCCCGTGGGTGGTGGTATACAAGCTAACCCGTTGTAAGTAACTTAACATTACTAATATGTATTGCATGAACGCTTCGTATCTTTCTCCCCGCACTACTGCGCTTATGTAGAGTAGTTTCATAATACAGTTTTTTTTTTAAATTAATAATATAATATATAATAGTACAATTAATGTGATAATGGCTATAATTTTAATTTTTAAAATAATCATACATTGCAATATAAAATTCTGTATAATAATATGATTAATGGTACTGTGCTATTTGATTTTTTTGTCTATGACTTTCGCTAATAAGAATATATATACTAGAAAGTTTAAATGTTTTCTAATCAGTAATATTTAATACTTTCTTTGATTTACGCGAATAATTGACATTTTAAATAAAACTATCTTTTTCGGATGTTTTCGCAAAGTTATTTTTATTTTCAGTAATGTTTAAATAATTATAATTAGTATTATAAAGAATAATTCTCTTTGAGAAGACAAACGACACGAGAAACTTACTTAAAATACTATAAAATCTAGTCTATTCTCATTCATTGTCATTGATTTTCGTTAAATTTCACATTTCTACATCAATATCGTGTTATAATATATTGTGTTATTAAATTATTCATAATAAAACTTCAATTTTAAGTATTGCATGTTGCATGCATTCATGTAACGTTAAAGCTTGCTTCGTCTAATAATCCAATAAGTGTTAAATTCTTAATTATTATTACACTTTATAATTGTACCAACTATTTATCATTTACAATTTTTTTTATTTCACATGTCTTATGTATGTCTTGATTCCGATTTTTTGGCTTCTATGTATAAACAGCTGGTTTTTTAAATATAAACATTTTTACTTATGTATATATTATATATACATATATTATATTCTTTTAATCATACAGTAACTCTACAAAAGAAATATTTGAATTATTTTTTATCTATCAATAATATAGTGTCTTTGTAGATAATATCTTTATTACCTAAAGATAATAATAGTTGATAAAAATAATTGTTTTGTAAAGATTAAATCGGTCAGTTTGATATTGGTCAAATTCTAATACTTAAAAGCTTACCTATTAGATAAATTTATTTAAAAAAAAATTCCAAGACTAATTAGACAATTTAAATAATGCAAAGACACTATATCGTCATAGTATATCCCCCGTAGTATTTTATTTTCCTTAATACTGTGTCCAGTGCACGAGGTGATCCTGCGGCAGGCGCCCGGCGACAGCAAGGAGCCCGACAGCAGCTGTGCCTGTTAGACACAGACACACATACACATATACATATGTATATCGTAACAGAATGTCACATTTAAAATAATTGTATAGAGCTAATATATTTTTTTAATTTATGAATTATTATTATTATAAGGTCAATTACAGCGCCATCTATTGGGTCCAGATTTTGTAATGATTGTAAATGCATCAGGCGTGATATTTTACATATAAAAACTTCAGTTCAAATTTATTCAATAAAAAGAATTTATTAAAATTTTTATGCTTTTGTACGCGCCTTTTGGTGATAACATCTTGTGACATACACAAAAATTATAGCTAAGTTAGAGAGTTCTTATTTGGCAATTGATTATACATTTTGTTTCTTAATGAATCAAATGTTCAAAAAACATGCTTCTGCTCTAACTTGTGCATGTTTTAAATGTGACTTCGATACGGTTATAAGGATAATGTTGCGATACATCGATGTTAAGTTAACGATGTTTGTTACTTTAGAATAAAATTATTGTATGGTGAAACTCAGACACGCTCTGTAAGTTCTAATAAATTTTTTCATGGAATTATATAAATACGACATATTTTGAATGGATTTGTTTAATTAATCTTTGTTTAAGAATATTCTGTGGTTCACCAGCGAAAGTAACAAACATTGTATCTGTTTGTCGCCTTGAATGATTCATTTCTTGACTTACCGCTCTGAAGTACGCAGCAAATGGCTGTGCAGAAGACAATATTACCAAATATCCGTTACATTCATGGCCTGGTTTCAGAGCGGTCAAATTACAATACTCCTAAGAGTACATATTATATTGTATGTTTAATTAAGAAGTCAGTGAACAAAACGGTGTAAATATACCGTCTAGATAATTTTTTTCTATAAATAACTGATCTCGTTTAAAGTCAAGGGTTAAGTGAGTACCTCCTACTTTTTACAGTCGGTCAATAATATAAAAATTGATGTTTTTATCCACAATGTGGAAAACATAAAATAAAAAATCTTACTTTTTGAAACTATTCCAAAAGTACTCATAATAATGTCTTAAAAAATCTGTAAAATAATGTAATTAAGAATTATCATCTTTTTTTCGCCACATTTAGAGTTTAAAATTGCCCAAATTATAACCTTTTCGTCCAAAATGCTCAATAGACGTAAGCTTTGCTCTTTTTTGATCGTTCAAGGCGACACACCGACATGACATACTACAGTGCTTTTGTGTGTTAGCATTTAAAGTGATATTAGATTTTTAATGTACGTTCAGCTTTCAGTATAATGCACAATTGTGCTTACGTTTTGGTTTTCAAACTGTTTCTGGACGCCTTCTCTATATTGGTACTATTGCTATCCTGCTCTGACATAAGAATTCTGTATGAAAAATAAATGTACATAATACTTTTTAACATCTATTGATTGAAAATAAATTTTTCGTTCGCAATTTTATATGAAAAAGTTAATACAAGAAAATGAAATGCATATTTATTTATATGTCGGGATAGTAATATTTTCATTATAATATAGAGTACGCAACGAGACTAAATCGTATTGAGTGCAATTTGTTTGAACATAAAACACAAAAGCACGTAAAGCACTGATGTTTGCTTGCGAATTCGTCATAAGTCTGTAAGACTGATGTGTAGACGCCTAAAATTATAAAACAAAACTGTTGATTGGAGGTATTTTGAATATATCAGGGCAACTTTGATTCTAAAATTAACAAAATAATTCACGCTTAACGCAATTATATTAACTGTTTAAAAAAAATAACCTGGCTGCTTATTAAATATTTTTGAAAACTTTGTAATGCGACCAATGTTACCCTGACAAGTTCAATGTTACCACAATTATTAGTACTAAAAAATATTTTTTTTATTTCAAATTTATTTCGATATGTTCCTTTATATCTCGATATTGGTTTACAATTTAAGAATTAAGTGACATTACTTATCAAAGATGATGGGCGTGAGTTTTTAGTTCGGAAGTTGGGTGTGAATGCGCTAAGCGTAGTGTAGATTCGTGAGCTGCTCTATGGCTGTATATAATTCGGCCGCTATCACCTCGTTTTATATATACGAGTATGTATTATTAAAAAATAATTTATTTTGGGCAAAATCAAATTATTTTTATAATGTCAAAGGGTTAACTTCTTTAGCCTCCACAGAATATCATTTCATTAATTCAAACCATCGATCAAAAATTTACTAGATACCCAATCCCATGTAAAAGTTCTCCTAAAACTGGCACCAATTGTGTTTAGCTAATCATTCTAATTGAAATAAATATATAAAAATGTAAATTGAACCTTAAAAGCAATGCTTAAAGTTGTTTTCACAAAACATTTTAAATTAAAAGCGCGCTCAATGTTCAAATGAGCGTTCATTCGGTTAGGACATTTTTTGTTGCTGATTGTGTATTTAGTACTTTTATGTCGATGATACAAATGGATATTTTAAAATACTTTCAACTTCTATGTAAATAATTTGTAATTATCATAATTATTTGGGTCAGAAAATATTTTAATGTACTCTTTTTAAATCATATCTTCTTTTATTTACATTAATCGTTTTTTTGATTGATTCGACAGTTAAGATTTTACAAAATTTTTTTATTGAACAAGTTTTTTATATGTAATAGGGCAATTATAGGTGTTTTTCGAGAGGTGAAGCGGTCTATGTACATTAGTATTATTTATTTACTTTAGTGCTTAAGTACGAAATCTTATGATTCTTATACTTTAACGAAAATGTTTAATTAGTGAGACGCAACTGCTAGCTTAATCGGGTTTATATGAATTTTATACTGTATTTGAAAATGCCATTCCAGCTTATAATGAGTTAAATAAAACTATCGAGAGTTTGGTAAATTGGCGTCGTCTCAATATGGGCAAATATATGTTTTACTTATTTACTATATCAAAATGTCTACACTTTATTATTATTAGCATGAAATGCGGCAACTTCTTGGTCGTTTGTGCCTTTTTCTTTTACTAGAGCTGTATTGCAGTTCTGACGCCATTTACAGAGATTTTCGATTACTAATAGAATATAATTGCATAATTTTTCATTTTTAATCAGCAATAAAGTTTAGATTTTCTTTAAAATACAATTTTTATCGTTGTAGTATTTATTAGGTGATATATTTTCGATTAATGAGATTTATATTATTTCCTAAATTAATGTTTATTTTTTTTTTAAATTATAATTTACTTTATTTAATACAAATTATATTAATTTTAATATATCCTTTGTTCTATATGCAATGTAAATACATGAGCATATAAAATTAGTATGTACGTTAAACATTGGACCTTTTTAAAAGAACATGGACGCACATTAGATAATTTTTTCTTTCATCATTCATTGACAATGTGCCTTTATAAATCAGTGTCATATTTTAAACCTATTTTAATTAGTATCTATGTGTATTTTGTATCGGTACAATGCTTAATTTACGTGCTTAACACATTTGATGCCTCATTTAATATTTGTACCGCTTCTTTATGGTTTTCTATCTCACCACGTTTAGAGCCGAACCACACTATAGTGCCGATCACATTTTGATATCGGTCTGGAAAAGTTTTTTTATATACTAGAAATGTTGCTAGAGTGTGAGTGGACTGGAACGTAACTCTTTCTGATAGTGTAAAATCACTCATTGCTTCTTGTATAACAATACTTTACCAGACCGATATCGGATCTAGGACTGTGATCGGCACTATAGTGTGAAGGGGCCCTAATTGTTCTTTGATTTGAATGTGGCATTAGATGCTATCTATAAGTTGTCTATGGACAAAGTACTGCGATGTCGACTTTGTTTGTAAATACCCGTATCTCACGCTGATATTTTGAATAAAATTCTTAAAACACTACTTGTTTGTATCTTTTTATTTCATTTTTTTTTTCTTTTTTTTTTTTGATAAAGCTATTGCGTTTTAAGATAAAAATTTATTATAGAGATATAAATTATCATGATTTACTGTGAATATTAAATTAAAATTTATTGCTTTTGACATAATAGCTGTAATAATGCCGGTTTGATGTTTTTGTCTGTCAATACGTTTGATAGACGGACTAATACGTTACTTACATATAAAAATATGTCATAGTTTACATATACATATATAAATGAATATATAAAACTTTCTGTCTTTTGGGATAATAATATTTATTATATGACCAAAGGCAGTGAAAGTACATATAGTGTATATAAAACATAATTCAGCCTTTATTGTTGTTTTTTATGTTTGTTATATTTTAGTATTAGTTATTATTGAAGCTTAGCGGTTATTTTTTGGTCTATAGTGAGAGTTTGATTTACGTGCATCACGTAATTTTGTATAGATTTTATTTGTCTGTATATATAAATCAATTATAGAAATGTGCATCTACAACGCGCTGTCACTGTCTGCAAAGGAGAAAAGCAAGAGATTTTAGTATCACTTTTAGTGATTACCATATTTTTATTGCAATAAAAAATGATAAAACAACTTAATCTGCAAATTAGACACAATAAATAGACATAACAAACACCAATATATATGGTATGGTATAATTAATAATAGTGTGTTTTTACTAATAACTCCTTAACTCAAGCAACAGCCGTGGACCTGCAGACCCAGTCCCCCATGGGCTCCGAGCAGGAGGGCAACGAGAGCGGCTGCGTCTGCTGAGCGCGACACCGCCGTACCGCCCGCCCCCGCCCTCGCCACGCTCCCGCCCCCGCCCCGGCCTCGCATCGCTTCACGGAGCTACACGCACCGGATCATTTCGCCTGGCATCATTCAAATCTAGGCTAGTGTTGCTAGATTTAATTTATTACCGCAATTACTAGTTGAAATACACTAAAATATACTGTGACGTTGATTAAGATTTATGTAGAATTTTCTCGAATAATCACCAGTCTTAATGTTATGTAACTCGTAATTCATCTTTAGCTTTAGAATAATTAAACGTATTTAACAATGAGGGCGTCTGGCAACACTAGTGTACTTCGAACAAGTTTTTGAAATTATGATACGTGAAAGATAATAAATACGATGGGGTTAAAGAAATGAATAGTTGAAATGTGTGTTGATTTGTTATATCTATAGATGTTTCAAGGTTGTTCTGTGTAGTCCCATTTTTTAATTTTATTGTGTGTTTATCTTTAAATATACTTAATGTACTACAATTTACAATTGTAAGTGATTGTGATATTTTGCATGAACTCATATAATTTTACTGTTCTGTGATTATTATAATCTATCAAGCCTTTTTGAGCAAAGATATAAATCCTTTAATTTTTTAATTTACATTGCATTGGTCATTTCTTGCCTAAAATTACGTGCCTTTGACAATATGTTTTGAATTCTGCAACAATTGTACGGTTTTGTCTTGTTTCAAGAAATTATATATTTCATTTATTGTTTAAGTATTAGAGTTGTGGAAGTACGGGACGGGGACGCAAGGATAGCGCGAAGCAGGCAAAAAGGCTAATTGAGGCAAAACAAACGACTGAAAGGGTCTTGGGTGTGCAATATTTGTTATTTACATATTTAATAAAAAAATGTCGACTAAATAGCGAATTTAACAGAGGACGTCACTAAATGCTTCTGTCATTCTATCTCCAGTAGGCCAAGCGATTGGAAGATGATTATTAATTTTGGCCGATAATCTATAATTTATTATCAGTCGCATCCGAGGCCCGCTCCTGAAGACGAGGGAAAAGATCTCGAATTTGTACATAGTTTGTTATATTTATTTAAACTACCGCTTGCTCGATACTGGCGTCGCTCTGCTGGTCATACCTAAGACTTATTACGTAAGAATATAATCTTCTTCTATAGTAATATATCTGAAGCACAATTAGTATTTTAACTTGCTAGATGTCTTAAGTTAGGCGAATTTGTCATTCAGAACGGTCGAATTCATACAATTTACTCCCCAAATAAAATTCATTAATATAGTCGAGCTCACTGCCGATGTAGTTCAGGTTATACTTTACATTAGCCAATACCGAGTAGAACACGAATTTCAAGTTATTGTATTCGAATAAGCGGATATGAAAGTTTTTATAGTGTTTTATATGCAATAATACGATAGAGTTGAGTACAGTAAGTGCGTTTTGACGCAATGTGCAAAGCTTTAGCTTCATCATTAGAACATTGTTTTACTGTAATTCGAAATTAGTATAATGTTCCGGATAATAAAAGCATTTTAAATACACTTTTTGTTTTAATTTTAAGTATTTTTATACTTATTTTCAGTAATATAGTTAAAAGCTGGTTTTTAATATCCTTATCAATTTTATGCGAGGGTGTATGTACATCGCCAGCTTCCGGAGAAGGCTCTTTAAGAATTTATTAAGGAAAAAGAACCCAACTTATTTGTCCGACGCAGGACTCGAACCCAGGACTAACTAACCACTAGACCAACGCGGCAATTGATAAAAATAAAGTAAGTACGATCTGTAATATGAACGAGGGAGGTAAAAAAAATACAGTTATTAACTGGAGGTAAATTTATTTCCAATAAACATAGTTTACATTACCATTGTATTGATAACAGTGCATTTGACAAATCTTTAACTTTTGAGCTTTTAGTTTTTACAATTTATGAATGAAATCGACGAATCTACATTAAATATGGTTTGTACTAAAATATCTTAACCTAAATATATTTATTTTGGAAGCCTTAAATAAAATATAGGAGGTAACAGTCTTAGTATTTAAACTTTGCAAAGAGAGCATATTGTAGTGATGTTTGTACGTACGTACAACGATGACATACAAGTTATTTTTTAAATATTTCATTAAAATGGCAAATATATATGGTATACATATATGTTATATAAAAGTTGGAAAAAGTTTTTTCTTGAAAAGCTACTTTACATTTTTTACATGAAAGATTATTTTAGGTATACCTACAAAATAGATATAAAATTTGGCTCACGAACAAATGTAATAAAATAAATTAATTAAACCGCCTCCTAAAACATACAAATATTCATGTACTAAAACAAATAAAATTCACTGCGCAGGAATCGAACTTGGTATACGAAATTTTATTTATCCTTGTACATTTAACATTGCGACAGACAAATAAAAGCTTACCTAATTCGTTGTAGACATTCTTATTGACACAATGGATTAACTTAGTAAATAAATACAGGACAGCTGTAAACATATAAATAAAAACCTTACATCTTACTTAATTTGCTTAAGATATATTTAAAATAGTGTAGTTTTGGTTTCCGCGACATTATTTACAAATTATTTCTACGTATATAATTATTCGAGTCTTTAATTATTATTTTTATACAATTGTGTTTTGAATAGTCTACTCATATTGGGTAAAATCTTCGATATCAGAAGATATTAAAAATTAACCCGCGAAAAATGCGGTTACCGTTATAAGGTATTTTAATTTTTAAGATACCTTGTTTTATATTTTAACTTCCTTAGGATGTCCAAGTTAAATCTTTAAGTATCTACTGGGAAATTATTGGTACTTAATACGCATTCGTAAATATATCAACTTTGGTAACTCTCTATTAGAGAACGGTTGGTAATCAGGTAAGTACCCAAATTATCAATATAATTATATAATTATTAAGATGATATCTTAAGTGGTTTGATTTAGGGTATTTATCTTACATATTAAAGTGTAAAATAACTAATGATTTAATTTTCCGTTTACTGTCACTATGAAACACTTTTTAGTGGGTTTCTACGTCAATTCAAACTTAATTTTACATATACACACATTGTTCGCCAAAAAACAATTCAGAAAAATGCCTCAATCCGAATAAAAATACGTATCCGAAGAATAACTGCCGATAAAAACTCATGGTAACCAAATTTATGTATGTATATATGTATATATATATATATGTATATATATATATATATATATGTATATATATATATATATATATATATATATATATACAATGTGACTTGGTTTGTCCATAAGAAAACCGGATATCAACAGCAGCACCACCTACCTAAGAACTGGTTAACGGAAAAAAAACATCACTATCGGTCAAGCCGTTTAAGATTACGAACACCACGCACACACACGCTCACCGCAATCTTATATACATATAAATATAAAACCAATAGTTGTCTAAACAGATCACATACCTATAGCTCTATGTGATCGTGAAGGTCTTTATGGCTATATCTATATGGTCACGTATGGCTATGATAATCGCCTATTTTCGCTTTCATTTTTCATCTGAACATATACTGCATATACATATAGATAGAATAACATTACTCTTTCTGACGTTATACATATTTAGTATGCTCATAATAAAAAGGTCGAGTTTGACAACTGAAAGGAGGAACAAGTGGCAGTGGAACAAGTAAAAGTAAATATTTATTATTTATCGTCCTTCGAGCAATCATAAAGAACCTTCAAATAACGACATATGTATAAATAATCAAAGAACCAACCTTTTATTTTATTTATTATGTTAAGGAGGGTAAAATATTTTTAACTCATTTTGCCCATTTTGTGTTTGAATGTAGTTAATAGTTTTAAATATTGTAATAAATATATGTATATAGTAATTTATTTAAACTAAATTAAAAATATTATTATTCTGTAATCACAGAGAACAATGGAAAATTATTTCATTTCTACGACTTTCTTCTGAAAACGTTGGTCCTTCGAACCTTAATACGAGTAGGTATGTCATATTCTGACTAATTAAAAGGCTTCAAGTTCTCAGCTTTTTATAAAGCTAAATTGATTCAAAGACGATGGAGTTGATAACTAATGTAACAATGAAATAAAAATCTATACATATAATAAAATTCTAACTGAGTTGAATCTTTATATTAATTTTTTTTTGAAAAATCTTATTGAAATAGTCATTATTATCGATAGAGGCCGAATCTATAATTTTTTGAATTTTTGTGTGTCTGTCTATCTTTGACTGCATCAAGAGAAAACCACTGGACATGTGTAATGATAGCTGGTTATCGGGGTCAACATATAAACTACTTTTTACTGCGGGAAAATATCTCATTTCTGAGAAATCTATACTAAACGTTAGAACGTAAGTAGGGACGAACCCGAGCGGAGCGAAGGTGAGTCGCTGCTTAAAATATAATTCGACGAAGTTGTACCATATTTACTTTTACCTGTAATATTCGATATTTATCCATCAAAATAATGTTAATAATATTATGATGTAAAATGATAACTGACGTTAAACTAATATCTTTTTCTATTATGAGATTTAACACTTTACCCTTTAGGATATTATTAGCTTGACAGCGGTTAGAATATCGATATCAAGTTAGCGACGTGACATTACAACAAACTCAGTAGGTAATATTGTGTTTTTAGATTAAATTTTAAAAAACAGTACTTGGTTCTTACATAAGATACCTACACGTTACAATAGTTAAAAAATAGAAATTTTAAAAATTGTATTGAACTTTCTTAGATTTACGCGTAAATTTGATATTTAAAATAAAACTATCTTTTCGGATTATTTCGCGGTTATATTTAGATTTTTGGTTTCCGACGTTTCAAAAGATTTGGAATTGCTATACAGCAGACCATGATTGCTGTAAAGCATTCGAAACGTAACCAAAAATCGAAATCCGCGAAATAATCCGAAAAGATAGTTTTATTTAAAATTGTATTGAAATCACTTCAACCGATATATCGTAGAATCTCTTGAAAATAAAATTTGTCGTTCTCGTATATTTTATTTTTATTTCACAACAACTAGCGAATGATATCTTCTCCCTCTCTCTCTCTTTAATTATAAGCCTCTTCATAGAGACTTTATAAATGCAAAAGTTTTTATAAAAACTAGTGGTGCAAAATTGGAACACAATCATTATTGAAATTTTAAGGATAACATATATGAATAAAATGTACCTATCTATATAAAAAAGCTGATTCCAAAAAAAGTATTGATAACATTAAAGCTCGGCAATGACTACTTAAGAAAATAAAAAGAAAATCGGTTGACAAACAAAGGAGAAAGAGGTACAGAATTGTTTTGTATTTGCCTATTTGTATAGAAATGTCTCATTGTATCTATCTTTAAATAAGATTTGTCTCACCTAATTCAACTTATTCTGTATCAATATATTGGCTGATGTGTTCGTTTTTTATGTCGTCTATCATTACTCAAGCAGTCGTAAGACAATTTATAATATACTAGCGGCTCACCCTGGCTTTGCTCGGGTTTGTCCCTGGGTACATTTTAACGGTTACTATGGAATAGATATACTGTATATTATATTCAGTGCCGGATTTAACCTTAGTCCCTGGGCATAGTTGAAAAAGGCCGCGATATTATCGAAATTTTGCATAAAATGAGTAAAGTTTCGATAAAGTTTTTTTGTTTTAAACATAATTTTTTTTCAAAAATGCAATAAAAATAATTTATAAATGATATCGATTTTTCGAAAAATGTACCTACTATTTAATCTTTTTATATTTTTCATATTTTTGAAAATAAAAAAGCATTTTCGATAACACGAAGAATTTTTTTTTCCCGCTCTCCGAATTTTGCCGCCCCTAAAAATTTGCCACCCTGGGCACTAACCCGGAGTGCCCCTGGTGTAAATCCAGCTGATTATATTACTGCTCCGCTCTCTTGAGTAGCATGATGATATATCCTTTAGCTTTCCTCAATAAAAGGGTTATCTAATGCAAAAAGAATTATTCAAATCGCATTAGTAGTTCCTGCGATATATGTTCAAACAAACAAACTCAGCCTCTTTATAATATTATGTAAGTAGTAGATAATTGTTTATAGAAAAAAATTTACATGGCATTGAATTTTAAAGAAATATGTTCTAAGTATTATCGACTTACATAAAGTTAATTTAAATCACGGTTTCAATAAAAGATGTCTCTAACTAAATGAAACTTTTTTAATTACTGGTTCTACTTTAATTACTTTCAAATTGCAAATAAAGAACGTTCAGAGTTGGTACAAACAGACCGTGAAGCTTCCGAATCTTGGAATGTCCATTTAAAAAGGATAATGAACTTTTGAGCTTTGTTTACTAAAAAAGCTTTAGGATGTCTTCAGAAATAAATAAATATGTTGGGACATTAACAAACAGCACCAGCACCATCTAGTTCCATGGTAAGCTACAAAGCCTGTGTGTTATGGATAACAGATAGTTGATACACTACACATATATAACTTTAAATACATATAATAAATATAAAATCCCCATGACTGGATTACAAACATTTTTGTGCTCATCACACAAATGAATGCCCCCAGCGGGACTCGAACCCGCAACCGCTGGCACAGCAAGTACATATAACAAGCTCTTTCAAGCGTGTCGTCAAATAAAAAACCAAAAATAAAGTAGGTTTTAAATATAAAGACATTTTACGTTTTTACACAAAAGGCCACTCAAGATGTTTTAGCAGTTAGTCGTCGACAAGTGTTACGTTGAAACGACTTGGACCATAAACTCTTCGAGCATTAAAACAAATGCACATAATTAATTACAATGCGTGGAGCGAAGTTCTCAATAGTTTCCGATCTAATTTAAACTAAATACTAGCGCCATGTTGTGCTGCGGAGTCTGAGACGTCGTAAGAATGTAATTAACTCGTTTTATCGCAATACTAATACGACACTCTTAGAGCATAGTTCGCATCGACTTTTTAAGAATATTACTTACAAAACATAATCAGTCTAAATTATTGAAACAAAATCTAGATTATAGAACAAAACTATCAATCTGAAAATATCGTTACAACATACACCTATAGCAAAATTAGCTGCAAAGTACATTTAAAACATTTGCAAATATTCAAGGAACTTGCTTCCCAATACAAATTTTCATCCCCTTAAGGGATGATTTCTGGGATAAAAAGTATCCTACGTCCTTCCCAAGGTTTCAAATTATCTTCTTACCAAATTTCATCAAAATCGGTTCAGGAGATCCCGGTATTACCCGCTACGATCTCACAAACATTACCTCTTTATATAGGTATAAAACAAATATAATTATCTTACATTTTGACAAAACTGACAATTTTCTTTTTTAAATATTGATGTCATGATGAAGAAACTCAACAACTGAACGTTAACCAGTCAACTCACTGTTTTATTTTTTAACCCAATTTTTTCACTTTTCCGTACAATTTTTCAAACCTTGTCTTGATAATTACAAACAACAAAAAAAGAATTAGCTAAATAGGTGTAACCGTTCTGAAATATTTCGCTTACATCTTTTGATTTGATTTTTATTTATGGAGATAGTATATTATATAGTATTTAATATACTGGGTCTACTAAGATAAACATATCATTTATTATAGACCTACACAATCTACCACCTTACATTCGTTTCATATATCGCAAAGTGTCTGTTTGTGATCGTACATGAACTAACTGTCTGGTGCATACGAGTATGTCTTAAAATTTTCTCACAAATCCAACCAGAGCGATTCACCTTAAGCATTGAATGCAGTATTGTGCCGCAAAATGAGTCGCTTGTTGCTCATGTGGGTCAGCAGAACCGTGTGACTCCAGCTTACTACATACATTTTCGATAGTGATATTACAAACTTAAACATATCATATAATGTAGGTACAAGTAGGTCATCCATCACGTTCTCTCTATTCTCTCTAGCATATTTAGTACAACAAAACAATAATACAAGCCACTTTATTATCATATATGAAATGTCCCAAATGTCCTGACAAATCACCAAAAAATGATTCATTTCACAAACATCTAAACGGTATCTTCTGCCTATGATCATTATAATTATTAGTCAAGAGTATAAGTCTTTAAATGTTCTCACAAATCATCAAAAGCTTACAATTCTTACTAAATATTAATTTTTGTATGTTAGTAGGAGCGTTAAACTCCCGTTTGTTACAATAGTTTTTAATAAAATGATACTATAAACATACACATAACGTATCATTTAATATAGGTACACGCAGGTAATTCACGTTCTAATCGAGCATATATCGTGCAACAAAATAGTAATACGAGCCACTTCAGTTCATGATCATATATAAATATGAATTGTCCCAAATTTTCTCACAAATCACTTCACACATGGAAACAGCGTGATTCACTTCTGCTAATCAGTAGGGGGAGTACCTATAAGTTTTAAAATGTCCCCAAAAAAAAACCTCAGACATCGAAGAGCAGCGCAATATTGTGCTGCGAGGCGCGTCGCTAGTAGTGGTCGGGGCGGAAGGCGCGCGGCGCGTAGCTGCCGTACGCGCTGTCCTCCGACGACAGCGGGCCGCGCCGCGCGCCCGCCGCGCCCGCCGCGCTGCCGCCGTACACGGACTCGCGGCGCTCTTGCACTGCTGCACCTGGGTGCATTTAATTATGTTATCAATATAGATAACTACTGGAACTTGTTATAATAAGGGAAGAATTAATTCAATATATGGAATATTGAAATGAGGGTAGGTAAGTTAAAGGAAAGTTAAAGGGGGGGTGTTAGTTGGTGAGGGATGGGGGATGATAGAGTTATCCCCCCCAACGTGCGTTCACCTTGTCGTGGTGGGGGGGCTCAGTAGTGCCCGGCAACCCAACCAGGCGCGAAGCCAAGAAACGCACAGGGAGGTGGCCCACTTCGGTGGGCGGTGGGAGGTGGCCCTCTCGGAGGGCAGTGTACCATGCGGGTTGCTCCTGGTACTTCTCTGATAGCAGAGTGGACTGTGGAGCAACCCCGTGGTTGTTGTGGTCTGCTTCGGCAGACCTGCCGTCGGGGCGTCGTAGTTGAATGCGTAAGCGATCCTGCGACGCCCCATTAAGACGGGGGAAGGCTTTGTTGGGTTTTAGTGGGTAGTACTGGCTTTGCCGGTGAGTCCCACACCTCGTGCGTAAATGCATTTCCCAACATAAAAAAAAAAATGATAGAGTTATAATCGAAAATATAATATAAATCGAAAATACAATATTTAGGAGCGAAATAAATTCCTTTTTATTAAAATAATAGGTACACAAAACCATTAAAATCCATAAAGTAAAAACAAACAAAATCTATAAAGTAAAAACACACGCATCAAAATTGGTCCATTCGTTTAGGAGCTATGATGCCACAAACAGACACAAAGAAACATACAGACACACAAACAGACACGTCAAACTTATAACACCCCTCTTTTTGTAACTGAATGATGACACTCAAAGAATTGTCAGATTATTATTATAAATTCAAAATCTTGTATCTATGATGATTTGGATGAAATTTAATATATATTAAGTACCTACATAGGAACACATTTCTAAAAATCTAGCAAGTTTTTGAACGACATGTAAATTCCGCCAACACGCACTTGGCCAGCGTGGTGGCCTATAGCCTGATACATGAGTGTTATTGAAAGGAAACCCGTGCCCTGCAATGGGATGTTAAAAGCGTTGAATAGCAAGTTTTCACCATCACATCGCTGTATAAGTAATTAAATATCATCATATATAAGCAACATACCAGCAGGTAGTGTCCGGATGCCGTTAGGGGTGGTGCCATACGCGGGCTCACGCTGAGCGTTGTGCACGTTTTGGTTCATGGTGACGGTATGTGTGGGCGGGCGCAGGAGCAACGACTGCGTTCCTACGAGGGAGTTGGCCTGACTGACCGCGCCTGCTGGCCCACTACTCTTGCTGTATACCGATTGTGACCTGGAAAAAGATGGAAATTATTCTCTAGTACATAAAATCTATGCCAGAAGTTACGTTTTCCTCGTACACAAAAGCTGTCCTGTGTCTGTAATTTTAAGTATGCAATAGAAAAATTCCAAGAAACCCGCGCTGTCGTTATTGATGAACCGTAACTTTAAAATTTGTATAAATTTGAATCTGTTTGTCTATAATGACAACCATACTTGCTACTATAATGATGATGATGTTCTCCTAGCCGATTCCGGCCACGGCGGCCAATCTCATTGAGACTAGCCAACTGCGCAGGAGATATTAGTGCACAAGTGTACGCGCAGACACAGGTGCACTCTCTATTCCTGTAACTCTCATACTCCGGTGGGACGACTGCTCGACACGACCAGTAGGAGTTAAGGCGCAGGACCGACAGCTTTACGTGCTCTCCGAGGCACGGGGGTGAAACACCGCCAACTTCCCAACTCCGGGCTGTTACTGAGACTTACTATACAGAAAGACTCGATAACTAAACTTGGCCCGACCCGGGACTCGAACCCAGGACCTGCGAGTGTGCAGCCGTACATGCTAGCCACTACACCACCGAGGCAGTTTATAATATAAACTACATGACTTCATTTGACCAACTTCAAAAAAAGACGTTGCACTCAATTTGACTGTATATTTTTGTGTGAATCGATCCCATGTAAACTTAAAAGAAAATTCCTTCCTTAAGGGTGGAATAAATATTTTTAAATTATTTTCAAATCGGTGTGTCTCTATCGTATAAAATTATATTCATAAAAAATGTATAGGATAATCATGCAAAATCACTATTACTCTAGTTATCAGTGGTGGTCAAACTAGTAAATCTCTTTAGAAGACCGTCTAATTTGGCTTTATTGCTACGTACTAAACGTATATTTCATTCAACAATGTACCAACACACATATTTGAGCTGCTACGGGTCTATATGTATATACTCTATTTATACTCAACTTACTTTCAATTTTATTTTACTGTACAATATTGAGAGCTATAAAGCGTAAACCTCAAACTCGTTCATGCAGCTGGCCGAGCCTATCAAGGTATTAATAATTACATTTGACACGTGGATCCATCAGACCTGTGGAGTGTGTGGCGAGCGGGCGGCGGCGACCTGCAGTATAAAGACTTGGTCCCGGAGTATAGGGGCTCAGTCGTATCTGGTCGGGGGGCTGCCGCGGAACAGTATGTTGGAGCATGCCTGTAGTGATGATGCGTGGGGAACGCGGGCTTGTCCAGCTCATCTAGATCCCTAGGTGAGGATGCGCGCGAGTTGGAATTTGCTCGAGGCCTTCGAGAACCCCATTCATGGAGAAGAGCACACGCTATGCCCCCACCGATACCCCCAACCCAGCACACCCAATGACTCTCCCAACGAGAGAGGACGAAGGAAGGTCCTAATGACCGAGCTGGGTTGAGTGACGGCATCTGAAATAAAAATAAAATAAAATTGTGATGAAAGAATACAGACGTACGCAAGCTACATCATGCATAAAAAATAAATAACACTGACTGAATACATTTAATTACAGTAAATAATTTAAATTTATATATTTTAATATAATCCATGAGATTAAAATAAATAAGACGAAAGTACGCCCCCAGCGGGACAGCTAGTTTGTAATTAGAAAAAATGCTAAGCATTGTATAGTTATGTATAACGAAAATAATATTATCATTTTATTTCAAAACAAAATAAGCTTTTATGTTATACTAACTTTGTAAGCTTTAACGTTAACTATCTAATAGTATGGGTACAATATATTATTTATATATAAACAAGTAACAAAAAAATACATAGAAAATGACGTGGACAAAGGTGGACTTATCCTCTACAAGAGATCTCTTCCAGTCAACCCATGTATGTGGGTAATAGTGTTAAGTAGCGGGACAGAGAGAGAAAGTGCAAAGAAACGATACGAAAATATATAAGAATAAGCATATGTAAAACAAGATAAATACAATATATAACATATAAATATATATACATACTATCCATATATAATATTGAAGCAAAAATACATAAATACAAATATACATAAACATACTTATATTATTACAAAACAGAAAGATATATATTTGATCAATTATGATTATATATAATAATATCAATAATATTTTATAAGTGTAGATGGCTATTATAACCGAACATTTCCAGTGCAGCTCCTTTATTGGCCACAGGTGCACTTGGCACAAGATAGGCAATAATAGATGGTGTGAGTTCAATCGTTATTTACGCTCAACTATAGTTCTATCTTCTATATACTGGAATACAAACGTGAACTAAAAAAGAAAGGATTCAAAAAATCACCAACTATAGCTGAAATTTTGCTTTTATTAAATTCACAAGATTATTTTAACTAATCGTATCAAAGTTCTGAACATTAAATTGTCTTTAGAAATTCTTAGTTTCTACAATAGAATCGCTGATAATTGTTAACAGTTCGTACAGCGAGCTCTACAACGCCATCGTTTCCAATTTCAATTGTGAAGAATTCAAGAACCTCGTGATTGCTCTACATTGAACGTTACAAGCTGCGCGCACTCACAGCCATTCACATCTCTATGCAATTCGGAATAACAGTAAGTTTCAAATGAAGGAAACTATTTACTTCCGTTCCAGAATTTGTGCAATTTTTATATTTATTTTCGAAAGGAAATGAGCGAGCAATTTAAAAACAGTCCCCGTTGAAAGGGTCCTGTGCTATTTCTTCTATAGCTACAACAATGGCATCCTACCTGCGGGTATTTCCATTAAAATCATCTTCTTTTCATTGGGCAGACATTGTTAGCTGTAATTAGGGCAGATACAACTTTGTACCATAAAGAGGGTTTTACTGTATCTCTGGACCAAACAATACCTACTAACCAGCCGCAAGATTCGATAAAAGAAAATAGGTCATTTCACTCTATTTGTTTTTCTACTCGAGCACAATCTGACTTGAATTATTACATAATTCTAAATAATTTCTTTAAAATTAGTTTATACGCGGAACGCAATCATTTTAGGGATTCTGAAGGATGTTTTGTATAAAACGTTTGTGTTTAGCAAAAATTGTATAGCCATCCAAGGTATCTTTACTGTGCGCGTTTTTGTAGCCCGCACTTTGTTCGGCAGATGCGTAAAAAAAGAACATCTGCCCGTTAAGGATTCCCGCACAAAAGGCAGGTAGTGTCGCGGGTGGATACGCATTGTGAAAGATGAATAGTGATCGTAGGACGCTATTGAGCATTCTATCTTCGTCCGTCTTGGGAACTGTTGTCGGATACATATACACATTTTATGTCTCAGATTCAAGGTTCCGTTATTGAATATTGGCGAGACGAATCGAAGAATGCCATAAATTTACCAGTTCAATAGAAGTAATAATAGGGATTATTTTTTGAATTCTATAAATGTGGAGATTCAAGAATATTGACATGTCAGCAGGGAGTAGGGTTTGTATTCGATGGTACCAATCAGCTGTTACGATATAGGTAGGTAAATATACTAAAGTAAAAGCGGAGCACTTAAATAAAATTTAATTAAAAATATAAGACAGATATTTTTTGCCTCCTTAATGTTTTCTATCTCAGTAACAATGTGTTTTTTCATACACTTATTACTTAGTTTAAACTTAATATTTGTTATATAATGTAATAGACTCACAGAAACAAAGCTAGCAGCACAGTACGCGGCGCCAACCAAAGCAGGAGCGGCTCCGGTCCACCTCCTTTCCATAGCAGCGAAGTATGCGGCAGCTACTAGGCCAGATAACAAGAGTTCGGCCCCAAGTCTCTCCCACGCAGCCGCAGAACTTCCACCACCTGGCAAAGACGCTGATAGACCTCCCGCATATCCTGGAACGCTAACACTGAAACAAATTAATAAAATCAGAAGGGCCATATATATTTAAAAACTAACTTTCTATCTTCTTATTAAAAGGGGTTTTTTTATCTCTAAAAGGTAGGTACAACTTCGGTAAAAGTAGCAAATTTTTACATGAGAAATAAGCTTTATCGGACCAAATTTACTCGAGCTTCGGTATCATTTCTCTTTGATATAATTGAAGGAAGACATTACAGGAGTTAGATGAAGCTTACGGTAAAAGTCGGGCCATTAATTCTTATGAAACATTTTCTAGTCTTAGAGTTAAATAGAAAAAGAAATACATATTTCCATGGCGAAAGTTCAGAGAGAAATTGTACACTAATATCGCATGTATGTACATATCAACCTATCTACTAACCACCTCTCCCACCTCCCTATAATCTTATTTTAATGTTTACATACAGACAGAAAACTGTTATATCATTGCAATTATATACAGGAAAATATAAATATACATAGAAAAAATATGCATATAAAAAGGGATTTTCATTTGTTTTTTTTTGTAACTAGTGTGAACACGATCCCGTATACATATTTGTGAAATTCATTCACGTACTGTACAAATCGCAATGTACAGTTTTGAGTTTGAGATTTGGCATTCGATTTACAAGCAAATACTATTGGGAGAAGCTGTCAAGTTCTGTTTACAGATACTGTTGATACCCAAGAACGAGGTGATTATCGCTCTTTCAATATTAAATATCGTATTTTTTAGATATTTCTGAATGGAAAAACTTTCTAAGTAACCTTCTAATCCAGGTCGGTCAGTTCATCATCTTATAACCGTTTTCTTCTACAGATTTAACATATTCAAATTTTATATACACAAAGAACGAGGTGATTATCGCTCTTTCAATATTAAATATCGTATTTTTTAGATATTTCTGAATGGAAAAACTTTCTAAGTAACCTTCTAATCCAGGTCGGTCAGTTCATCATCTTATAACCGTTTTCTTCTACAGATTTAACATATTCAAATTTTATATACACAAAGAACGAGGTGATTATCGCTCTTTCAATATTAAATATCGTATTTTTTAGATATTTCTGAATGGAAAAAACTTTCTAAGTAACCTTCTAATCCAGGTCGGTCAGTTCATCATCTTATAACCGTTTTCTTCTACAGATTTAACATATTCAAATTTTATATACACAAAGAACGAGGTGATTATCGCTCTTTCAATATTAAATATCGTATTTTTTAGATATTTCTGAATGGAAAAACTTTCTAAGTAACCTTCTAATCCAGGTCGGTCAGTTCATCATCTTATAACCGTTTTCTTCTACAGATTTAACATATTCAAATTTTATATACACAAAGAACGAGGTGATTATCGCTCTTTCAATATTAAATATCGTATTTTTTAGATATTTCTGAATGGAAAAACTTTCTAAGTAACCTTCTAATCCAGGTCGGTCAGTTCATCATCTTATAACCGTTTTCTTCTACAGATTTAACATATTCAAATTTTATATACACAAAGAACGAGGTGATTATCGCTCTTTCAATATTAAATATCGTATTTTTAGATATTTCTGAATGGAAAAACTTTCTAAGTAACCTTCTAATCCAGGTCGGTCAGTTCATCATCTTATAACCGTTTTCTTCTACAGATTTAACATATTCAAATTTTATATACACAAAGAACGAGGTGATTATCGCTCTTTCAATATTAAATATCGTATTTTTTAGATATTTCTGAATGGAAAAACTTTCTAAGTAACCTTCTAATCCAGGTCGGTCAGTTCATCATCTTATAACCGTTTTCTTCTACAGATTTAACATATTCAAATTTTATATACACAAAGAACGAGGTGATTATCGCTCTTTCAATATTAAATATCGTATTTTTTAGATATTTCTGAATGGAAAAACTTTCTAAGTAACCTTCTAATCCAGGTCGGTCAGTTCATCATCTTATAACCGTTTTCTTCTACAGATTTAACATATTCAAATTTTATATACACAAAGAACGAGGTGATTATCGCTCTTTCAATATTAAATATCGTATTTTTTAGATATTTCTGAATGGAAAAACTTTCTAAGTAACCTTCTAATCCAGGTCGGTCAGTTCATCATCTTATAACCGTTTTCTTCTACAGATTTAACATATTCAAATTTTATATACACAAAGAACGAGGTGATTATCGCTCTTTCAATATTAAATATCGTATTTTTTAGATATTTCTGAATGGAAAAACTTTCTAAGTAACCTTCTAATCCAGGTCGGTCAGTTCATCATCTTATAACTGTTTTCTTCTACAGATTTAACATATTCACATTTTATATACACATCGCAAGCTCTATTTTCGCTCGAGAATGTTTATATTACTCACTTACATAAATTGTTCGTTGCCGTTAGGACCATCACCTAAGGCGAATTTCCCTCAAATCTTCATAAAAGAAAGAAATTAGTTAGTAAAGAAAGAAGTTATTTCTTGCTTCTTTTGTTTTGTTTTAATTTCTCGCAAAATATAGCAAGTAGATTTTTGTAGAGTTTAGTGTTGGCACTTTATTTTAAACTAGCATTGCCCGCGGCTCCGCCCGCGTTCAGATGACAAAACACCAAATTCTTAGGTTTTATATATAAGTATACTCTTACATTACAGTTTTTGTATTTTTTCTCAGAAATGAGATATTTTTACGCGGTAAAAAGCATTCTATATGTTGACCCGGATAATCAGCTATGACCATATCAAATTTCATCAAAATCCGTCCAGTAGTTTTTCTGTGATGCGGTAACAAACAGACAGACAGACAAAATTTCTAAAAAAACTATAGATTCGGCCTCTGTATCGATAATAAGGTCCATTTAAATAAGATTTTTCGAAAAATATTCAATATACAGATTTGACTCAGTTAGAATTTTATTATATGTATAGATTTAACTAATAAAGTAACAAAGGGAATTAAATAAATGGAAACCTATAAAGTAGCTTTCAAAAGAATAGATTGCTCTTTTCTTAACTTCCTATAATTGGTTTTAAGGAGAAATATTGAAGCCAAGAAATGGAATAGGTTCCATTACAACCTTATTTAAGTCTAAGACGAGTTTAAGTTAAATTTACTTCTCAAAGGTAATGTCTTTGCCACTATTTGTTTAATAAATGCGAGTCGTACATTCGTTCATAGGTAGTAGTAGTAGGTAGTTTTCTTTGAGTACGTACTGCACTCAGAATATTTGCTTGATTAACACTGTATTGCCGGGCCCTACCGAGCCCCCCCACCACGACAAGGTAAACGCACGTTGGGGGGGGGGGGTTGGTGGATACCCCTCGCGGCCTGCTGCCGCACTGTGCAAATTGTGTAATCAGTCTCTTTGCATAACATGTTACAAAGATAGTCATATCTAAATAATTTTTTGTTAAGATTTTTTTTGCTAATATTTAATTTTGGTATATCTTAATTATTATTATTTTTGGCTTTTGTGTAATTAACACATATTGATTTTATAAAAATTTAATACAATTAATGACTCGATATTTTCTTTTCTTTCACTATCCCATCACTACAAAAATTACACTTTAGTGCGGTATCGGGCCTTATCGACCTGACATTTTCGATTAGTAATTTCTCATTTTCTGTTTGGAGGATCCAGGGGCGGGGCCAATGTATAGACAAGTGATTCATGAGGATTTTAAAAGTATAAACATTTGTAATGTACAATACGCTTTGACTAAGATAATAGAGGTAAGACACCACCCGGAGGTGTCGGGTCCAAAGTGCCTACCACGCACAATAAGAAAGTTAAGTAGGTGCATTTTTGGACTGCCACCGCACCAGCTGAAAGTTATTGTTTTTGTTTACGCAGTGGACGTGTTAATTTTACACAATTTAATTTATTTTTTACAATGTAAGGAATAGGTTTATTTACTGATATATTAATTTCTTATATTAATATTAATAAAATAATAATAAATAAAACACACATCACCATCTAGTTCCATGATAAGCTACGAGGCTTGTGTTACGTATACCAGATACTTGATACACAACATATGTATAACTTTAAATACATACATATCATAAATATAAAAAAAGGAATGCCCCCAGGGCCCAGCGGGACTCGAACCCCCGACCGCTGGCACAACAAGTAGGGTCACTACAAACTAAGCCAAGCGTGTCGTCAAAATATAATATATATATATATATATATATATATATATATATATATATATATATATATTTCCTTGTACAAATTGTCTACTACGATAACTCATGCAGAGATAATTATGATGCTTTCGCTTAAACATTGAATGTTCTGTTTATTATGTTTTCGTACACCGCATAATTTAACTGGCACTTGTCGGCTAAATTATGCAAATGTTGGATATAACGCGAACTTAGTTACTAGCTTCTTTTTCGTTTTCCCATGCAGCAAACTTGTCTAGCACGCATAATAAACTAATTTAATTAATTTTACAAGTAAATTATGTTTAATTAAATAATTTTTCTTAAACATTTCATAGCTATAGGTGCGGCCTATTTCCGGAAGTGTCTGGAAATAAAAAGCTGGCTGACTATGATGACGATAATGATGATAATTCATACGAATTAAAAAGAAATTAAAAGTTAGCACTTTAGAATATTTTTAAATTGACTAGCATTGCCCGCAGCTCCGCCCGCGTTCAGGTGACCAAAAACCAAATTCTTAGGTTTTACATATTAGTATACTCTTACATTGCAGTTTTTGTAATTTTTCTCAGAAATGAGATATTTTCCCGCGCTAAAAAGTGATCCGGATAAACAGCTATCATCATACCAAATTTCATCAAAATCCATCCAGTAGTTTTTCTGTGATGCGGTAACAGACAGACAGACAAAAATTCTAAAAACCATAGATTCGGCTTCTGCATTGATAATCGATAATAATGTTTATTTCAATAAGAATTTCGAAAAAATATATAATGTACAGATTCGGCTTAGTTACAATTTTATTATAAGTATAGAGTAACTGAGCTTATTATTTGTGTAAGAAAAAAATACATTTTCAAAAATATGGTATGAACATTATATTTGGGAAAATATGTTTTAAAGGATGTCGTTGTGTAAGCTTTACGACGTCGTCTCGCCGCAGGCGGAGCTGAAATAATTTTTCATATGAGTATTTAAATAACATAATATAAAACTTACAGACATAAATTGAAAACAGACAAATTTATAACAAAATTGCAACAGGTGACACTTTTAAACATGTAAGTAATGGTCTTGTACCTTTTGTTTGAAATATTCCAGACACCTTTTTTCTTATTTTACGTTTGGATTTCTCAGAGGCGAGATATTTCCCTGCAGTAAAAAATATCGTATATGTTAACCCGGATAACCAGTTATCATCATACCAAATTTCATCAAAATTTGTCCAGTGGTTTTCTCGACATGCGTTCCCAGACAGGCAGACACACAGACAAATATTCTAAAAACTATAGATTCGGTCTCAGTATCGATAATCGAGAATTTCAATAAGATTTTCCAAAAAATATTTAATGTACAGATTGGACTTAGTTAAAATTTTATTATATGTATAGATATTTGGCGGCCTTTTTATAACTCTTTATGGGTTGAATATACGAATAAGGCTTCCTTAGCATTACGTAGACTGTAGAATTTTCTAATTGAGTAATTATAGAGAATTAAAAGAGTATACAAATATTTCGATATGTGATCAAATAATTTTCCCAGATATAGGTATTTACAAGTAAATTAAATTAATACAAACATCATTTTTAATATATTATGAATTTTACGCGCTTATTTGACATTTAAAATAAAACGATCTTTTTTTTGGTTTTTTTTTGCGGATTTATTTTGATTTTTGGTTCCCACCATTTCGAATGTTTTACTGCAATCATGGTCACGGGAGAGACTGAGGTTTAAGATGTCTCCAAGGCATATATAGTTGTTACAGACAGCCTGCCCACAAAACAACAAAATGTCGGGAACCAAAAATCAAAAAAAATGCGCGAAAAAATCCGAAAAGATAGTTTTATTTAAAATCTCTTCCACTTTTTATTATTTCCTTTGATTGTTATATTGGTTTGCAGTTTAGTAGGTACTTGGAAGATACAAACGCCGCTAGGTATCCATATTTTAATTACCATCCGCTTACGTGTTGGAACGCATACCGTCGGAGTATCTCACACGGTGGAGTTAAATACCCTCTCAGGAACCCTAAGTACGGCAAACGTGGACTAGAATTATTTTGCCTTTATACCGTCAAGGTTCTATAAGAAACTGATAGGTATATTATGTCACATTTTTTTATATGCGTAGATGACTAAGTTAATAAGTGGTAATTGTTTAGATCGTCTAAATGTTTGTTTTGCTTTCGTTAAAGTTTATCTAGCTATTCGAATAAAATTGTAATGGAAGATTTATACGCGTTATATACTTTTGGTAAATTGTCATAATTATTAAATTTTACGAATAAATAATTTTTGAAAAGAAATGAAATTAAACTTTATTTAATTAGATTTATACAAAGACTTTTCGATCGTTAATTTAATTTAAAGATAGTATAATCGATTCGTGGCTTAGCCAATATATGAATAACTAGCGACTCATTCTCGCTTCGCTTCGGGCTCGTCCCTAGACAAATAAATTTATTTCATTAAAACCGTACATTTTTCCGGGATAAAAAGCTATTGCTATTCCAGACTTAAATCTATCTCTGTGCCAAATTTCATTCAGATGCTGTTCTGGCGTGAAAGAGTAGCAAAGGTCCATCCATGAATCCTCACAAACTTTTAGATTTGTAATATTAGTATGGTTTAGTATGAATTGATTTGAATTAAAAAAAATCTTAGATAATATTCTGATAAATAAATAATTTACACACAATAAAAATTCAACGAGCGCTTTTATAATAAATACTGAACAAGGCCTGGCTTATATTTGTGAATAGAGCCCGAATACATAATTTAGCTGTTGATAGGCAAAAAAACAACGAGAAAATTGCCAAATTGCCATACGCGATTCCGATTGAAATCTAAAATTATAATAAGTTATATGATGAATTTAACATAGACTCGATATTATTTTAAACGTGAAATATATAAAGAGTAGATATGGAAAAAATAATAGTAGGTACTTATTATCAAATCTGGACGACGCGGTCTTGAATTTTCATCACAAATAAATAAGGCAAAAACGAAGTAGATAATAATAATCGATACCAATAATAATCGATATATATTATAAAGATTTAATGCGCAGAATGAAAACCGAGTGTGTATCATGTATGTAATATGTATGATTCTCTCAACCTGACCTTACCTAAAAAATTAAATATGAAATTTAATTACAGGCACAGTTGGCGAAATTGGACTATATACAAAACTTTACAACTATAACGGTTAAAAATATATAAAATAGCATTATTTGTTTGGTGCGTTCGTTGCACAGTATTTTAAAATATCTCATTAAATATTACATTGGCCATTCTCTACCAGCTGTTGAAGAATTAAACAGGGTTAAATGAAAAAGGACATGCGATGACTTCGAGATACGCATCTGCCTTTACGTCACATCTTAAGCTGTAATTATTGAGTGAGTCAGCAGACAGCAAACGTTGGTTTCTAATTAATCTTAGCCTCTTATATGGGCTTGTAACATTCGATAAGGGTCTAATAATAGATAATTTAACTGCCTCGGTGGTGTCGTGGCTAGCAAGTACGGCTGCACACCCGGAGGTCCTGGGTTCGAGTCCCGGGTCGGGCCAAATTTAGTTATTGAGTCTTTCTGTAAAGCCTCAGTAACAGCCCGGAGTTGGGAAGTTGGCGGTGTTTCACCCCCGTGCCTCGGAGAGCACGTAAAGCCGTCGGTCCTGCGCCTTAACTCTCACTGGTCGTGTCGAGTGGTCGTCCCACCAGAATATGAGAGTGACAGGAATAGAGAGTGCACGTTGTGTCTGCGCGTACACTTGTGCACTATAATATCTCCTGCGCAGTTGGCTAGTCTCAATGAGATTGGCCGCCGTGGCCGGAAACGGTCGGGAGAACATCATCATCAATAATAGATGAATAAAAACTTTTTGTTAATAATTGTGTAATTGTGCAAACAGTTCCTATTATAAACTTGATGCTATGGCAATGAAATAATATTGTAAATGGTAGGAGTTCAGAAAAATTAGAAGTAAAAGTTAAGTCGGACAACCGATTGTGTCAATTATTGGCAACTACGTATTTTAATGGTCAGATATATAATATCGATCCCCTTATGTCCAATTCCTTGAGTGGATTTTTTACATTTGATTACATTGACAAATGGTTGTATCTACTTTTGTTTACTTTTATTACTTATAATTTATTTTATTCATAGCTACTGGAGCAAATAAAGCAAAACGAAAACTCGATAGCGCAAAGACAAGCGTACCCGAGTTGTAGTCTGAACTAGTTCATCCGTTCCCTACAATAGCTATTGAGCTCGTATCAGATGAATAGAATCATTGTGGTAGAGTTGCCGACCCATAAACGTTTCCTTCATCCTCAAAGTGTCAGAAGATTGTAAAGAATCTCCATATCTTAAAATGGTTTTGGAGTATATTTTTAAATCCGTATCAGGTATATAGTCAGGTACCTAAATATTGATAGTTTTGAATGATACAACTAAATGATATTCAACTACTAACTAGCGATATAACCTGGCTCAGGTAGCTTTTGTATTTATAACATCTATACTAATATTATAAAGAGGTAAAGTTCGTGAGTCTGTGAAGTTGTAGGGGCTAATCTCTGGATCTACTGAGCTGATTTAGATAAAATTTGGTAAGAGGAAGTTTGAGACCCTGAGAAGGACATAGAATACTTTTTATCCCGGAAATCATCCCTTAAAGATGTGAAAATGGGGATGAAAGTTCGCATTGGAAATCAAGTTATGGAATAAGGATGAGCCCGAGCGAAGCGAGTGTGAGTCGCTAATTAGGTAGCGCCACCTTTTGACAAATTTTATTAATAACAGTAGCCTATGTGTTAGTTACGCACACAGGAATACATACATGCTTTAGAAAGTATTGCTATTCTATGCAAAACTGCACCATTCGGTAACATAACATATGTAGATATGTACATATTGAAAAGTAAAACCAACTAACGGGTATGGGATTTCACTATAGATATCTTGCAGGTGGTGTTTTGATTATTTTTCCATAGTAGAGGAGTGGAACAGTCAAACCACTTAAATATTATCCTGTTATCCTGTAACACGGGTTTTTTCCTATCACAGGCACAAGCGATCCACATTTTTTTAAGACTCAGTTTTATGCTATTACGATGGACTATGCCAATATATTCATGAACTTGACTTTATTATTGATGTATAGATTGAATATTATTTATTATTGTATTATTACTATTGACCTACTATTTTCTAATTTTGGTTTGTGGTGGGAAATATCAAATAAAGAATTTTATTATTTTTATTATTATTATTATATTATTCATCATTACTTTAACAAATGACAAATTGAAAAGTTGACTTAAAATATTTTGCAATATTTAAACAGATACCTACCTACCACATACGAACATAAAGCTCTAAAAATTCTACAGTTTAGAAATATGCATCGACAGAAAGTCTAGAGCGATAGATTCAATTTTATTATAATATTTTAGCAAGTTCACTCAAAAAGCTTTTTTTGAACATTGAAATTGAATAGTGAAAAGTAAATATTTTAAATGGCACTTTAACTGACTGTCGTAATTTAACTAACCTATTAAGAGAAAAGCGTCGTTTATAAAGAAATGTCTTTGAACCGGGCCGGCTCCTTTATTAGCCATTAGACCTTTTTCCAGCGATTCTGAACAAACGTGGCATTATGATTCTTATTGAAAAAAAAAAGATTTTTTTAGATGGATGGAGATTTTATACATTTGTAAATTTATTTTAAATATACATATACATACATATATACACAATATTATAATTTAACTAGCATTGCCCGCGGCTCCGCACGCGTTCAGATGATCAAAAACCAAATTCTTAGGTTTTACATATTAGTATATTCTTACAATGCAGTTTTTGTATTTTTTCTCAGAAATGAGATACTTTCCCGCGGTAAAACGATTCAAAAATTCACCATACCAAATTTCATCAAAATCAATCTAATGGTTTTTCTGTGATGCGGTAACAGACAGACAGACAGACAGACAGACAAAAATTCTAAAAACTATAGATTCGGCCTCTGTATCGATAATAATGTCTATTTCAATAAGATTTTCCAAAAAATATTTAATGTACAGATCCGACTTAGTTAGAATTTTATTATATGTATAGATATGTAAAAATGTTAATAAGTGTAAGCGAATAAATAATACTTAATATATAAAATCTTTTATAAGTTTCCCTGCAGGTTGGAACAGGTGAATTATTGCTAGAGCCATTCATCAGCTTCTCAGAGCTCTTTTCAATTAATCCACTACAAGTGCTTCATTATCACCAGAATATATAATTCAATTCCATTTTTCATCAATAAAACTCCGCCGGACGTGCTGCGACGTTTTTAACACACGGACCGCCAGGAAATGGGATTCTTTGTTGATTTTTTTCACCGATTAGCCAAAAAAATTAAGTGATTATATCAGATTATACATGCTTGTTATATATTCGCTTAGTATTTATTTTATTTAACAGTAAATAAGTTTATTTTATTAGAGTTTTTGTAACTATTGCGTGCTTAAGTATGGCTTTTACATATTCATATTTTATTGCAAGTGTCTCACGCCGCCTCGCTTTTAAATTGTATAACTGCTCAATAAATATCGACGGAATATTTTTAAGCTGCGATAAATTCATTACGAGCCAAGTTTTTTTGTAGTACCTACCTACAGTACCTACAGTTCACAATCTCTTATACGAGACGTTAAAATTAGCTATACTTAATATGCCTAGAACTAGGGATGGAACATTTCACGAGTAGCAAGTGAAAAATCACGTGAAATGCGTAATCATACGTCACACCTGCTACTTAAATTCATAGTGGCTGCTACAAATCACAACTTGGTGAAATCTAGAGCTGTAGCAAACCGTATGTATTCGTTACTGAGTAACGGGTACGCCATCTAGTACCGAGTACCGAAACGTTACTCACGAATGCATTTCGTTACTCGCATTTTCCGTATACATTTTCGTACTGATGTTTTTATTGATTTTTTATTCAACAAAATACAATTTTCAGTTAATACCGTTGATCAGTAAATTGGGGAGTTTATTTATTTCGAGTTGCATGATTTCGGATTCTTAGAAATATTGTTTAGAAATAATTTTAAATTAGAAACAACAATTAAATTTAGAGCACATTTTTAGTTTTTTATCCAACAAATACTTATAATTTTTACTGAATGATTATGTGTAATACGTACAGACATAACCACACAACGCTGAGAACGAGCTAGAAATGTTTATTAATGAACCAGTGCTTCCGCGCGATTCTTCGCCATTAGTTTGGTGGAAATCTCACTCCTATATGTACCCCAATTTGGCGGAAATATTTCATGAGCACTGTCACATCGTGGTGACATCAGTGGAGTGTGAGAGAGTATTTTCAAAAGCGGGAAATTTTGCAACCCAAAAAAGAGCACGATTAAGCAGAAAACGAACAGCGGAACTTGTATTTTTAAAAAGCAATGAAGACTATTGTATATAGATATCTCATAAAAAAATCAATCATCAAAAAAATCAAAAAGCAAAAAAAATGATTATAAACAAATTAAAAAAATTAAGAAAAACAAAAAAAAAGTGTATAAAATTCTTTTATAAAAATTCTTATTGTACATAAAAACAATGAACTTTTAAATACGCCAATGTAATTATGGAACTTAGCTTAATACAATTTTACCGTGTGATTACTCTGATATATTTAAAATTCATTTAATTTTACATTGTCAGTCCCAAGCCTGTAGAAGTATGAGGGAAAGTTCATTGTTTGAAAATAGGTTCATTCAAAGCACCATGTACGTATGCAACTACGTCAGATCTATATCTCTGCTCCATATCACATCAGTAGCGCCATTGGTGACATTTCATACTTCATTTTAATAGCAAATAATATAAAGTGTGACACCAGACCGTCGAAATCAAAAATCTATGCGTGAAAAGTAGCAGGTGAAATCACGTGAAAAATTGTTGTAATTTCATCACGTGATAATGATTTAAAAGTAGCAATCATTTCCATGCTTACCTAGAACAAAGCTTTACTTGGTTTACGATTTAGCTTTTTAAGCCGTTTGTAGTTCTATTTAAATTTAAAAAAAAAAACATTTATATTAGAATTTAGTTACTGTATAACTTAATTTAACCTACTGAAGCTGAGGAGTAATGTCCAAAATAGTCTCTACATAAAGCGTAAAACGTCCATAGAACGCGTAGAACGAAGGATTCTAAGAATCTGCGACACAAAATAGAAGGTACTTCATGTATATTTCACGAGCAGAATATATTTCACAGATCGCTTGGGATAAGTTACGACAAATTATACCAAGTCTAAAATGTGAAGAAATGATTCATAATATTTAATAAGATATTTTTAAAAGTAGACAATGCACTTACAATTTTAAAAGCGATTTGAAAATAGAAGCAAGAAATCGATTCTTTCAAAAGTGTCACTAGATAATGTTTTATTCATATTAAAACTGTCGCTTCAATTAAGTCCTAACAACTATACTATGAGTAAATTACAGAAACCTTTTGTTAATATCTATACATACAATAAAATTGTAACTAAGTCGAATCTGTACATTAAATATTTTTTGGAAAATCTGATTGCAATAGGCATTATTATCGATACAGAGTCCGAATCTATAGTTTTTAGAATTTTTGTCTGTCTGTCTGTCTGTCTGTCTGTCTGTCTGTCTGTAACCGCATCACGAGAAAACCACTGGACAGATTTTGATAAAATTTGGTATGATGATAGCTGGTTATCCGGGTCAACATATAGATTACTTTTTACCGCTGGAAAATATCTCATTTCTGAGAAAAAATACAAAAACTGTAATGTAAGAGTTATACTAA